CACTATCATTATTATCATTATTAGTAGGAGCGGTAGTATGAGAATAAATGTGGCAAGCAAAAAGGACAACAAGCAGAACCTGAAGAAAAACGGAGCCCATCAGAAAAGGGTGAAGCACAGGGAGACAAAATGTGAGTGTAACAGGCACATAAACGCATAATAATAGGGAACAACAGGGGTAAGAAAACGGTAGGAGAGTGAGAGAGAGAATACAAAGTTGACAGCCATCGACGTGTTCGCGAGGCGCCCAACAAGCAGATGTATCGCATGCATGTCTCAACTAACCTTTGCCTTTTGCCGCTCCTGGCAACAAGACGCAGAGGGGAAAGGGGGAGAGGGTTATAGTAAGCCGGTCAATAGATGAGCTAGCGCCGGATTTAGATGCATACATACGCCATACAATTAAGGAAATCTTCCTCTGTGGTGTTCTGAGAGTGTTCTGGCAGTGAGAGGTTAAAATCGCCGCAGTTGTGTGTTTGGAGTGTCATGTTGTAAATGCACTACTTTTGCGTCATTAGCCACGCCGTGGTGAGCCGGACCACGGCGCGCGGATAGAACATCCGCTATGTCGGCTAGACGGTTGCGACTGTTTTTATAGGTACATTCTTTGCCAGATGGGTGATGAGACGGGTCACCGTTGCCCGCGTCGTGTGTACTTGTATGTGAAACTTGAGAATACATATTTCACAGCCAGCCTTCCCTCCACTGCTTTACGTCACAAGAGTGACTGGGATAAGAATTATTACCTGGGTCTAAATAGCTATTTTCCGAACTAAAAAATCGGTGAGGTAATTCATGCAAAGCCGTGGTCAAAATTAGACTTGGCACCTTAGCATGTATTTCGTCACGTTATTTTGATCTAATGAGTGTATGTTATCCTGAGAAAGCCTTTAAGTAAGCAAAACTGTCTGCTTAGTTCAGTATATTTAGGAATAGCACGCAGAATTCTGGCGAAACCGGATGCTGTCTGATGTCGAACAAATATCTTTGGTAAAACTGATTTGTAAGGCCCCTGTAGATATATTCCCTCCACGCCCAACTGCTTAACGTATTTTGTGGTCACAGTTAATTCTTTGCTAGTGAACGTAAATTAATATTTAATTGTGGCAGAAGTGAACAAAAATATTTATTTAAATAAGAGGGTGTTTGTTTTAATATGCTAAAATATAATAACCAGAAATGCTTGTATTTTATCGTAAACGCGAAGATAAAGAACAATCTTATGGAGTCTAACGCATTTAGAAAGATACCTTTATGTACAATTTGATTTCCGCTTATGTGCAAGTTAGAATCCAATATAAACAGAAAAATGAGTTCTTTCATTTCCAGCCAAAATTGTATCATTTACTTTCACGTAAAAACTTCAACTGGTCAAAATTCTCCATATTCACTTTGACGTTACCTTGAAAAAAAGGGTAAATACGCAGATATTCGTCGGCTGAATATCTAATTAGAACACCTGTTATACAGGTAACCTACTATATCTTATGCATAAAAGTATCAGACGTTTATCGTGAACTTTGTTTTTCCTCGACAATGCGTTTTGGTGTTTTCCATAGTTTTAAGTACGTTCCGCATGGCTATCTTCATAAGAACAAATATTCAAAAATTAAATTTTTTGATGAATGCTTTTTCGACCACTTGCCGAAATACAAGGGACGACCTGAAACTAATTGTAATCCAATAGCTGAAATATTTATAAAGAAATTTTACTAAAGAAAATTATTTTGATAGAAAGAAAATAAAATGGTTACCAATTAAACTTGCCGTGTGTTTTACATTTATTGTTGGTCAAATTTATAGTTCATGTTCACGTCTGCGAAACTGGAGTATCCTTTAGAAAATTTGACTTTACTAAAAAAAACAATTAGCACTTTTCATATTTCCTTTAAGCAACAAATTCGCCTAAGGTTGTCTACCATAGTTTTAAAATTTACGTGCACGTTTTAGTACGGGCTTGTAAGTAATTATCAATCTTTCGCACATTTCGACCTTTGTCATGTATTCTCCTGTACAGTGCGGCCGGTATTTCATGCAAACGTCCGAAGGATTCACAATCACTCGCAAACCGGCATCAGGAGAGGTTCTAAAACTGTTAATCGTGCAATCTAATCGCAAGTAATTTCAATTACGACAGAATGCAGAGTTTTTAAAGAGCTTCTTTCTGAGAACTTTAGTTATTTTCTTCTGTACGCCACCTTCAAATTTTATATTTAAAGAAAGAGTATGTTCGATTTCTAAAAAGTTTATAAATTGAAAAATTGTTCTGAAACCTATGGAAAGTTACAACTGAAATCAATGTTTCTAAACTGTATGCTGTGTATGCTGTCTAAGGAAAAGTGCGCTTTTCGCTACGGTGCAAGAAGAGGTCGCATAGGTCTCATTAAATTTTGCGATATATACGGCGCATGATGTATTCATTATGGGCAACATTAATAAACTGACGAATACGATGTATTTTGAATGAACACATCGCAGTCGTAAAAATTTCATAATGAGACATTTTTTAAAAACTGAAATATAGCCTTCCTTTAAGTATAAAATATGAAGACGGTGTAACGTTCTACCAAACGAGTACAATAAAGTATAATTTTGTGAATGTTTCCTATAAAATATATTTAAATTTATGACCTGTAAGCGGTCAAAAAGCAACTCGTTAGAAAGCCGGCATCCTGACGTGACTGTTATGACGTGAGATTAGGCTGCCCGATAATAAATGTTACAACCCTACTTAGTGCCGCATTACGAGCGATTACCAAAACTTTCGCATATTTCGGAATTTTGCACGAAATGCCGTCCAATCAACTAGCGCACGCGAAAAACTAAGCATAGGACTCAAGGACCGCACACACACAGTGAAATAATCAGAGCCATTTGTTTCTCACATTAAGCAGACAAGAAGAGCAAGAGGAAGGGTTACCAATTCGTCGCTGAATCGACTCCTGTTCCAAGAGGAGATGACGCACAGAATTGGGCAGTTGAACTTCCCTACTGGTGATCCATTTGTCAGCAGTGGGACCATCGGTGATGGCCAGGTCTGCTAACTGGTTATACATCTCCAGCGTGAAGTAGAGAAAGTCCATGAGCACGTGCTCAACCACTAGGGAACCGACTTCACTCCTATCAAGCAGGCCCGCCATCAGGCGGAACGGTCGTGAACTGGCAACTCGAGCTGTAGGCAGAGGAGCGGGTCGAGGAAGGGCAGTGAGACCGTGGTGTACAGGGAAAAGGGTATCAAGTGAGGAGAATAAAAAATGACTCGCTGCTGGCCTCTGTGCTGCGCAGGACGCAGTTGCCTGAACAGCCCACGGAACAGCTACATTACTTCAAGGATCTATAGGGTCAGAGTGAAATTTGGTACGGGCTGAAGTCCATTAGCATCTGCGCGGTAACCACGTAGCATTCACTGGTCGTAAGCAGTATAACCAACACAATTATTTACTAGTGACAGTGCAGGTACTAGATCCTGTTGCCTAACCAAGCTAAGATGCGATTATAATTCAAAAAGGTGATCGCTGAGCAACGGATACGTTGTCCCATAATTCAAAGAAACTACCTACTTATGTCGTTTGAGTAGGTTTAACTTAACCCGCTTGCCTCTTGTTCACTCCGCACTTTTGAGTGTCACCATCGGGGCTATTGTGCGGTTTAGGCGGCCCAAATTGTCAAGTGTAGTTATATCCTACGTCGCAACCATCATGAGGGTAGAATTTAACGGTATATTCTTCAAACTTTCGCCTTCACTGTGATTGGACATTACGGACTGGGGTCATTTGGCTTGAACCATCCAAGCAATGCCCTCGGTTTTCCTTTTTCCACGCGGTTATAACTCCTAACTGCGAGTTCGAAGCTATTCACTTTATTGGTGCATTTAAACAAAATACTGGTGTGACTGAGTTTTTTGTCTTTTGCGTCACAAGTTTCGTTTATTTTGCCTCCCTTGTTTTTACTGCGGCTAAAGCGCGTTCGATTATTTATGCTGGGAAGTGGTCAAGCACAATCAGCTGCACGTTCCCCCTTTATCATTCCTTCTATAAAACTGAATAGTATCACCTAGAGGTTCGTTGATTAATGTTCACCGACCGCTAAGGCAACTTACTCGTCCCAATCTGCCTTGGGAGCATTAGCAATCGCTGAGCGTTCATCAAAGAGTGTCAATATCTCCCGATCTAAACCAACAAGACAAGGAGCTCGTGGTTCAATAGTTAGATCGTTGGACTTCTAAGGTCAAAAGGTGGCGAGTTCGAACCCCAGGTAGTGCACCACTTGGGACTATATATAACTGGTTGAAGACGGCTAATGAACCAGAAATGGCTATTCCAGTCTCCCTCGCCATTGCCGGCAATGTTCGCATCTTATTCTCCGCTTTAATACCTTTTCTAGGCGTTACCCGCCTGGATTGGTGGGGCAGATATTTAAGAGAATAAAGCTACGAAGAAAAGGCTTAAGGGCGGCGCAAAGGAAGAAGGATTAACGGCACCTTGGGAAGAATTCTCCTGCACTAATAGCAGAGAGGAGCGTAGAATGCAGCGTAGGGCGTGAATGACCAGATCGCGAGAGTAGGTTTTAAAGTATCGGGACTGAACAGCGGAATCCGGTTCGCCCTGAGCGACTGTCTAAAATAGGCACAGAGAAAAAAGAGGGGCGAATGAGTAATTGTTTGGACGTGGGCGGGACGAACGATAGGGGTGAGTGAATAAACATGGCGCAGTGCAGGCTAGAGGGGCAGACTCATCATTGTAATTGAGGTCACCCGACTGACGTGTGCAGCCAAATGCGAAGACGCCATCAAAACTGCCTACAACTACCCGCAGAATGCAGCTGGAAAGTGTGGGTAACAGAAGACGGTCGCGAGTGCGGGTCATGAATTAAAACTGAAGAGGTCGGATGGTGGAAAGTGTCAATCAGGGGCCAGGTGTGTCTGCTAGTCATGTAGTGAATTCTATATTTATTGCTTAGCGAATCCTGATTGGGCAATAATCTTACTGTACCAGTATTGGCGGATTGCTTACGGTGCAGTAAGCTGGACGGGCAAGTCGACCCAAGTGGGATTACATTCACGCCTGCAGTGGAACCTCGATAGTTCAGTTGGCTATAGCGTTGGCTGTGCTCAAGTCTTCCCTTGCTGGCGTGGGTACGAATCCCACCGAGGCCGCCGAACCTTTCACAACTGGGTCAATTAAAT